TTTTTTTTTTTTTTGTACCTTAGTTTTGGAATTTCAGGCGGCAAACATGGGAACTTCAGAAAACCATAAATATTTGTGGCTGCAAGAAGTTATATTTTTAAAAGTTTACAAATTTTTTTTTGACCAACTTTTGAATGCGGCAAACAATTGCTTTAAGTGTCTGTAATTTCTGTTGGATCCTGTTACCGTATTTAGCAGTATTTGTAAAAAATGAAAAAAATTGTTTTGGTGACCTATTTTTGGAGTCGATATACTTATAGCTTCTAAGCTATAACAGAAATGATGTATGCATATAAGTGTGTAGAAGAATGGACAGTTTTGTCTACTGTATCTGTGAATTTTTTTCTTTTTTTTTTGTTTTTTTTTTTTTTTCAATATGCTGAATGTAACAACTGTTAAAATTTTACTTTAAATGTACAAAAGCAATTTTTAATTGTCAGATTATCAGTGAAGTAAAACAGTTTTTTTTTTTTAATTTTCTTTTCAGTGGAGGGCTAGTTCAATGATCCTGTTGAAATTAACTCAAGTTTAATGTTAGTGCTCAGCGATGGACTATAATATGGTATGTAAACAGTGTAGAAAGTGTGGAAAATATTTTTCAAGCAGCAATGTTGCTGATGTTCATAAAAATAGTTGCTCAGATCCTGGTACAGCCAAATTCCCAAGTAAGTAACATTAACTGCTTGTTTCATGCATTAATTTAGTCTTATTTTTTGAAATCATTGGCTTTGAGCACTGAACAATAACTGTTGACTTTTTCAAAATTTTACTTCATTCTGCTTTACAGGTTTATTGAGTACGAGTATCGTTGGAGAAGCAAATGAAAAAGATGCTAAAGAAAAGTTTGTTTGTTCTATTCACAAAAAAAAAATTAGAATTTTCTAGTACAGTTTTTTCTTGCATCGTTTTTTGTCTTCTCTTTCTTCATTGCTGTTAAAAACGTTAGTTTTCGTCTTCCACTTTGGTCCGATTTTCCTCCCCTGATTAATTGAGATTTAGCACATGTTCTGTATTGTTAATAAAACGTCTTTTCCTTTAGGTTGGCTCGTAGTACTATATGTAGGCCAAAAGACGTTTCATTTATATCTGTAGGCGATTGTATTGTTAAAGAGAGTACGTCTAATGATCAAAGCTCAAAGTCGAAAGAGGAATCAAATAAAGTCAGGATGCATTTGGCAATGATTTGTTTTCGGTTTATTAAAACCTTAATGAACTTAATGATTTGTTAATTGAGGATCTTATACTACTACTTTGCTGAACATCTTTTAACTGGTGTTTTCTTGTTTCAAGGCTTTCCAAGGATAGTTGTTCAGAAGAAATCAAAAATTTTTAAAAAGTAGTATAGGTAATTTTTGCACGTTTGTTGTTATTTAATCGATGATTTTGAATGGTTCTGAAGATTCTTTAAGTCTCAGTTGGTTGACTTTCTAAAACAGGTCCGCATGAGGGAAATTGTTAACGCATACCAGCGCCACTCAGTAAAACTGTAGGGACTCGAATAGAAATGGAAAATTAGTTCTTAGATTCACATTTCTGTTTTTGGGTGGACTCGAAGAAGGTTCTAAAATTGTAACTGAGTGTTAAAGTTAGTGCTGTGGGGAAAAATCCTCATAGTTTTTTAAGTGAGCTAAGTATAACAAAAGGAATGTTTCAAAAAACGAGGTTCAAAGGAAATAAAGGTGAGTATACTTAAGGTTATTGAGCATGTCTGTGGGCTCAATGCAAATCTTTTGAGCTTTTTAGGTTTTTCAATTTTTTGATACTGCTTGTTTTATCTGCATTAAGCACCATCCCTTTTTTGAGTAACTTTAAAAATTTTAATATTATCAAATTTTTTTTAGAAAACAAAGTTTTTGACGGAGTGGGTTAGAATTTCTTCTTCAAAAAACGTAGACGGACGTGTTTTGCATGACTCAAGGTTTATTTCGGAACTACGTTTCAGGTAAAAAGAAATAGGCTTTTCAGCTGAATCATTAAATTTTTTAGTGAAAAGTGTATTTCAAAACTTTTGAATTGATTGCATAGGAAGAGTAATTTACGGAGTCCGAAGCGTCAAATCCTACGCGGAGTAAGGGCAGAGCTGAAGAAAACTGGTGAAACTGAAGCACCGACAAGAAGTACTGCTGAGGTTGCAAGTACTCCTACAGACAGTGCTAATCGTACAGTAAGTACAGTCAAATTTCTCATTATTTGTAGTCTATTGTATTTTTAGGCTTTAAAACTTGTTTGAAATTTTTCTGAATTTTGAAATTTTATGGTCATTATTTTTAAATTGTAAATGATTTCGTATCTGGCAGTGTTAGTAAGTTACTTTTTTTAACGCTTCGTTTCTTATTAAGCGAATACGTTCTAAAGCTTTTATCGGGTTCCTTACTTAAATATTTTTTGTAATTTATACTTCATGAAATAACTGGAATGCAAATAAAATTTTACAGGAGTGTGTTCGGTTATGGGACAAAAGATCTGACTGTGGGCAGGGCCCGAGCTTTGTCAGTGAGGGTAAGAAATATGGTCAGTTTATCTGTTTTTCATTTTACAACATTGAACTTGTTCCTCTTTTGTTTTCAGGAACTAATGAAATCGAATGGGGAATTGAGTAGTACAAATAAAAATAAACAGAAATAAATAGACTCAGAAAAATTAGGTTTTTTTAAAAAAAATTTTGTATTACAAGCAAAATTTGTTTTAGTGACTTCTTGCGAAACTAAGTGTAAGGAACACACAGTGCCGAATATTTCACCTACGAGAATTACGAGAAATTGCCTTGTGCCACAGGATTTAAAATTGGGATCTTTTAAATGTGCTCTCCGAGATCCTCTCGTCTGGGCAACACCGAATAATAAACGGAAACAGGACAACCTTCAATGGCACTTTATTAAGCAGCATCGTAACTGTAAGGTTTTTCCAGGTTGTTTTTGCAGATATTATTAAGCTCATTCTTACAGTTTTTTATTACTATTTATTGATCCATTTCTTTTTCATTTTATTTCTTATTTGTCGTAATTTAATTTTTACTTTTCACCTCTTTTTGTTTTTACTTAGCCAATTCTTACCAGAGGAATTTTAGCAGCAAATGAAAGCGCGAATGCTGAAAATTGTAGGACGATTTCATTATGTAACGATGCAGTCGTGGGCGAATTAAGAGGCCACTTTGGTGAAAAAATTTTGGGCACGCTTGGGAAAGGAGATGGTTTATGTTGCCGTGCTGTGAGAGCAGAGCCTGGACGTTCTGTCTCTAGTAAACCTTCACAGGAACATGACGTTGGCTTACACACATTAAGTTTGAAAAACGCTTCAAGACGTCCATCGGTGCTGTCGACCAAAAACATTGGGGAGGCTGGGTCACATCCATTAGTAGTAAGAATTCAGAACGGGAAGGTTGTGAAGCTTCCGTCAAACTTTAAAAGTCATCTCCATGTAAGCGGCAGCAGTAAGTCCGTAGCAGGCGGACAGTTGCTTTTCAAAACTAATGGCCCAAGACCAAACGTTTCTAAAAAAAGGAACAACATTCTAAAAAAAATCCCAATTTTAAAGTCTTCGAGGCAGCAGTTGGCTTACGTAGGTAGCAAGCATTTGAAGAAATATCCTTGCGTAGAACTAAATGGGTTTGCCAATGTTAGTATGGACTCGTTACCTACGCGCTTTGGAGGAAAAAGCGTCCAAAACCCCCTCGTTTCTCTCGAAGAAATGATTAAGAGTTCAAGAACTGCTGAACCTGATGCTGAATTAGGAACGGAAAGCCACTCGCTACTAAACTGCTTCTCAGCTGAGGAGAGTTCTGCCTGTGAAGAGGTATTAAAATATCGGAATTTTAAAATTTTCAAAATGCTAAGTTTGATTTACATTTATTATTATGACTTTTTTTTATCAAAGTATGGTTCCTATTACAATCTTTGGTTGACACTTGAAGTTACAGGATGTTTCTAACAGTATATTGGGGACAAAAGGAGAGGTATCAGTAATGGGGAAGAGCCGCGCTAGCCAAAAACCGAAACGAGGGTCTCATTACAGGGGTTTGTTGTTTTCAAAAAATTAATGCTGATGTGCTGTAGACTTTTTCTCATTCCAATTTAGTTCATGGTGAACCTCGACTTGATCAAGATAAACTGGTTTTGGTGCACCCTTATGAAGAACGGGAGCTTGAACCGGTAAATGATTTTCTTCTCACGGCATGTGATCATTGGTTCTTTGTAGAGTTAATTGTTGCAGCGTATCTGAAAAGTAGCTTAAAGAACTGAGAAATTTTTTTACATAGTTTTAGATAGCAAATAAAATGATTTTTTTCAGGAAGAAAGGTGCTATCACATTGAACGCGCAATATTGCTAATGAGGCGAGATTTTGTTACATTGAGTTCTATTCGGAGGTATGGCCCCTCTTGGCTCCGGGTAGTTACTGACGATGAGGTGATTGGTGTATAAATAGTCAACATTTTTCTGGTCTTTTTAATTTCTTATTTTTAAACTTTTGTTGAAGATATCCTGATTTACTTTAAAACTAAGTCTCTTTAGATAATCAAGGCTATCAGTTCACTTGTGTGTACTGGGCTTCTCTTTGTTGATAAAACGATGTTTTCGCCAAAGTCTGACAGTGCTGTTTATTCATTTACAGATCCAAGAGATGTTGATAATTACAAGGCTAGTTTTTAGTTGCTGTTATGAAGAAATTTCAGTTTCATGATTACTAGGAAGCGTTGGAGTAAAGGGGTACTGTGCTTATTATTCTGCTTATTATCTATTGCAAGTGTTCTCTTAATTTTTAGACGTGGTTATCGTTCTACTGGGTCAAAGAAGACGATTACATGATGCACTTTGAAGGTGACCAGTTTACTGACCTTGTCAGTGGGCCTTTTCGGGTGTAGCTAAAGTAAATATTATAAGTAAAAATATTGTTTTAAAGTTTTTTATAGCTGTGTACGGTGGGGCGCCGAATTTTTTTTCACAGAGCTTTCACGCTGGACGTGATATGTTTATTGTACGAAGAAGTTTCAAGTAATGAAATATTTATTTTTGTTTAACGACTGAAGAAAGTCGTTAGATGGCTAAAACATTTATCTGAATCTAATAATTACGTTTCGTAACAGTGCTCGGTTGACATTTGTAAACGGCTATCTGTTTGTTTTGCACTAGTTCAAGGGGAAAGAGTGGTGAGACTTGAAAATTTTCCTCATAAATTAAATGCATCAGTAGTTCATTTCCTTGTTAGGAAAAGAGGCCTGTGTGGAAGAATGAAGTTGTACTTGTTTGTATAGTCATCCTGTTACTGACTCTTTGCACTGAATAAGTTTTTTAGGTGTGCTTGTGCCCCTTGTTTTAGTGAGTAGATTTCCTGCAGGAAAAGTTTTCTTTGCGGAATTTTTTTGGAAATAATGGTTGCTGTTGTTTTTTCGTTCTGGTTTTTCACCAGAGAGAAGTTCAGGGATTTTCTAGCGGTAACGAAGTTTTTAGGTCTGTACAATGGTGTGATTTCAATGTTCTTGGGCTTTGAAGAATAATCAATATTGTCATGAAGTCATGTTAACGCATTTTGAGCAGCATGGATTTTGTGTCTCATCCAGGTGGACGGCTTCAACTTCAAGAGCACTAGCAGTTTGAAACATCTGCGAGGTATTTTGGAGGTGTGTTTAATATGTCCCAGCGGAAGCAGAAAAATGGGAAGAGAAGGAACAAAGTGAAGTGCAGAAGTGTCATTAGGGTGATAATAGTTATTCTTACGGAGGTGACAAGCAGTTGGAACTTTTTACGAGACTTGTTCTGGTAAGCTTGTTTTAGCTAGGTTCTAGGAATTTTTTCGTTCCCCGCGTAAATTTCCGTTATTTAATTCTCATTTTTTACTGCAGGTCATTAGAAGTCGTCGGCTGGGCAAGGTCTAGTTTTTTCAATACCAATTTGTAGGTATACGCGAGCTGTTTTTGTTGGGGTCTTGATATGCATTGTTCTGTAAAAATATTTATTTTTATATGATAATCGTTGTAGACAGCTAGTATCTGTAGCTTATTTGACTTTGGTGCTGGAGAGGGACCGAGGCGGTTGTAGGGAGGTCACTCAGTCCTTCGTTCATTATGAGTTTGAGTGTGGCCTTTGTAAGGTTGAAATAAACGGAGCGTGTACACTGTTATATATTGATTTTGAGCTTTAGGGATGTCATTTTTTTTGTTACTCTGCCATCCACTCATTATTGAGGTAGGATTTAGTTTAGGGTTTATTCGCTCTTCTACTCCAGAAGTGCTAAGAAACTGGAAGGCGGAAGAGCGTTGGGGTCCACCCAAGGGCATTGTTATCAGTTTTCGGTGCTACTAGCCTGAAAAATGTGAGGACTTTTGATTCCTCATTAGGATTTGTTATGAGTAATGTAGGATGGCGAGGGTTACAATAGCAGGTTTGGTGGACTTTAATAACGAAAAAAATAATTCAAGTTTGAAGAGGTAGATGTCATGTTTACGTTTTCTACGGATATGCTGGCAAGTTTCGGGGGGTTGGTAAAATGAGAAATTTTCAAGAGGTTTTCTTCCTTAACTCCCAACATTTAAAACTCATTTCTCAGAAGTGAGTCTCGCTGTCGAGAAAGACCGACGTTACTTGGTCTACTTGTTCACTTATGGCGTTTATACAGGCTATTCTACAGAAGTGCATTATGCTAAATGTTGAAGTTTTATTGGTTTAGAACTTGTAGGTTATCACTGGGTTTTGAAATCCGAGTAACTTTGTAAATCTATCATTTAAATATGGTTTTTTTGTGCAGGACTCGGAGTTTTTTGGTCAGTAGTTCAGTGCGGTGCAAAAGACAAGTGTACAGTGGCAATAGTTCTCTTACTTGGCTGCTCTTAAGTGGTGATTTTTGTAGGTCTTTTTTTTTGCAGAGGTTAGTGATTTAAGTTGTAGAGTTTTGAAGGCAGTGCTTTTCTTCTGCTGAGGTTTGCCTTTCAAATAACTAGGATTTAGTTCGTTCATCCTAGTGGGTTTTTGTAATAGTACGTTTGATGTTCCTCTTTTAGTCCTATTAAACCAGCTAGATTCTGGTGATTTTATGTTCGTTTATTGCTTTTGAATGATAAACTTTTTTAACACTCAAATTTTTCCTGTTGCATTTACTACTGTTTAGCAAAAGCTGTGAATTTGACGCCGTTGTGGTGCTAATACCGATTTGATTACTGTCTAGTATTTGACTCTTTTGATCGGGTATTATGTTACTAATAGACGGTATCCCAAACAGTTGGATTTTACTCATTTTAATTTATTTTGTTTGATTGTATGGATGTGTGTCTGAATAGTCATTTTACTTTTATTTGAGTGTCATAATAATTTGAAATTTAAGGTGACTTATTAGCGTTTCATGTGGAACACTGAAGTTCCCATATTCATCCTCTCTTTGTCAGCAATTGTTTTAACCGTCCTGTATACTTTTTATTTGCTTAGAATTGTCATCAGGTTC